GGCTCAGGTCATGATCTTGCAGTTTGTGAGTTTGAGCCCCACGACGGGCTCTGTGCTGACAGCTCAGAGCCTGGAGCCTGCTTCCAATTCTGTGTCTGCCTCTCCCACGCTCATGCTCTGTCTCTCTCTGTCTCTCAATAGTAAATAAACGTTAAAAAATTTTTTAAAGAAACAAACCCAGGTCCTTTTCTGCTGGATTCTCATGATTTCTCCTCTTGTTCAGCTTCAACCTTGTAAAGTCAAGCTTTGTGAATGATCACTGCGAGGCATCTGGAGACATTTGCTCACTGCTTCCCCAGCTCCCTTTCCCAGAGTTTGGGACATTAAGCCTCAGACTCCTCAGGCCGACTTTGGCCATCCCTGGCTGCCCTGTGCTGTCTCAATGCCGTCTGCCCCCATGGCCCTTCTCTGGCTGACTCTGAGCTGGCAGCCGGCTTCGGGCCCTGCGTTGTCATGGAGAGGGTTTTAGAAACATATTGTTGGATTGCGGGGCGTATTTCTGCCACCTGGAAACAAGTGGGTTTGCAGAATAGCCACGGTGGAGGGAAGGAAAGGGCCCCTGGATGGCAGAACTGGTGCCTGTGTAGCGGGCTGTGGTGGAGGGACGGGAGCCCACATCGCTGTTTGGTATTCTGGACAGGCAGCGCCTTGCTGATCGACTTGTTTCTATAGGACTCCTGGGAGCACGCATCAGACAGAAGGCCACCGACGCAGCAGAAAAGTTTGCAGATTCTAAGGAAATGAAGTGCCGTGCCGCCCAGTCTGTGGTGAGGGAGGCCAAGCAAGCTCCCATTTAGATACGCCGATGTAAATTGATGCTTCATGCAGTCACGGTGCCCTTTGCCCATGTGCACCAGCAGGCTGCCCTTGATCGTCTGGGACAGCTCCTTAAGGGACATCTATTTCTGCATGAGACCTGGACACCCCAGCCATCTGGGCATCTTCCTCCTGCCCCGTGCCCAGTGCCTGAGGGGCTTCTGACCGCCCATTTAGGGCACCAGTCACCTTGCTGTTTGCTGCTTTGTAGGTCAAAAAACAGTTGAAGATAAACAATTTCATATCGTTTGGCCAGATTGAAAGCCGCAGGGCATCTGGCACCTGTCATCAGGATTAGACAGTAAGAACAGTAAAGAAAGTCAGTATTAGGGGGCGCCTGGGTGGCTTAGTCGGTTAAGCGGCCGACTTTCGCTTAGGTCATGATCTCACGGTTCGTGGGTTCGAGCCCCGCGTCGGGCTCTGTGCTGACTGCCAGCTCAGAGCCTGGAGCCTGTTTCAGTCTGTGACTCCCTCTCTCTCTGACCCTCCCCTGCTCACGCTGTCTCCCTCTCTCTCTCCTAGAAATAAATTTAAAAAGCATAAAAAAAAAAAAAAGTCAGTAGTAGATTTCTCTTGCCCAACAAGTGTAATCTGTTACTCTCAAAATCATTCTAGACTCTAGAACTTTGTGTACATCTGAAGACTTCACCTTCCAAATGATGTACCTGCTACCAAACATGTCCATGAAGTTCCAAAGTATACTTTCCCTTCAAGGCTTTCCCTTGAACTTTGTACAGTTTTTCTTCTGCTGCTTGAAGTAGGAAACCAGATCAGTTGTGGTCCCCACATAGAGAAGAGACTTCTGAAAAGTACTTTCTAGGGGCACCTGAGTGGCTCAGTCGGTTAAGCATCCAACTTCGGCTCAGGTCATGATCTCACGGCTTGTGGGTTCGAGCCCCACGTCAGGCTCTGTGCTGAATGCTTGCTCACAGCCTGAAGCGTGTTTCAGATTCTGTCTCCTCCTCTCTCTGCCCCTCCCCCACTCATGCTCTGTCTTACTCTGTCTCTCAAAAATAAGTAAATATATATTTTTTAAAAAGTACTTTCTAGCAGATAACAAAGATTTGTTATCTGGTTCATCACTGGTGGGAGAAACTGTACATGTTTTCATTCCTTGTAGGTTCTTTTTGCTAGAAGTTTTGGCAACTTGTGGAAAATCCCTTAGAGTTGGCTTGCCTACACTTATCTATGTAGATCTGATGTCTATGGACTATGAACACATTTTGAGTCGGGACCCCAAGAGTAAATGATCAGTTTCTAAGGCACCTTCTCTCTTCTTTCTCCTCCCTGGGTCTTATTTCATCTGCCTGAAGATGGTTCCAGAGAGGGGCCTCTGATCCCTTTGTTGAAATATTGACTTACTAAGCCATGCTCAGACTCACAAGATATGTGTCTGAATTTTTCTGCCGACACTTCATTTTACTGTTCTCTGGCCTCTCCTCCCTTTTTATTCTTGTCTTTTATTTCTATGTTCTCACTGTATTTTCTCCTTTCTTGAACATAGTGATGTTTTTACTTATTTTAATAATCCTTCGTAAACCAGCCTTTTCTCTTCCCAAAGCAGCTCACTTTTCTCCCTGACTGTCATTTGTTTCCGTTTCTTTTTAGTGACTGCAGGAAATGGGAGCCCACGCAGAATTCTCGACTCACCTACAGCAATAGCGGCAGACACTGAAAAGTGAGGCCAGAGCTTTTGGCTGGGCCCGTACCAAAAAAATTAAACTGCTTCACTCCTAATATTCTTTTGTTGTGAATCTCAAGAAGCTGGTCTGGCAAATGAGACGGGTGTATCAGGTGAGGTTAAGCCCACCCTACCGGATCTCCTTTGCAGGAAAGAAGCGGGTGAACCACCAGACTTTCTGACTCAAACCCCTGGCTTCACAAGGTAGTGAAAACAAGCACTCGCCTATGCATGAGAGAGGAGCCAGTTATAACTGGGAATTCTAAGCACAGGCAATACCCAGAAAATAAAACATGCGGCTGGCAGCCCAGAGATGGAAAGAGCAAAGGAGAGACTTTTCTTAAACTGCTCTAGTGGGTAGGTGGTTTTTTTCTTTCTGCCTTCATAAAACCATGTACTTAGGGTCAGTTGGGAAGCCAAGTCCTTGACCTTGACACTTGCAGCCATCCCAATAAGATCAGAATGAGGGGAATGTGGGAACCCCCAGTATAATGTCTGGCCCAGGGGAGGACACTTATTCATATCATTCAAATGGAGAGAGGGATGGGAGGTGTCTCATTTACCTTTGAATTCTTACATTTGATCTAGTGGAAGAGGAAGCCTAGCCCCAAATGACACAAATTTGTCAGGAAGGAAAGAGTTGCCAAGAAACAAGGAGACAAGGTGGTAGGGAGGATTTGCCAATGGGAGTTAATCACATGTGTAAAATGAACTTAATTTAAGCCTGCTTTCCAGAGCAGTGGTTCTCAAAGTTTAAAGAGCAGCACAAATTACCTGGGGATCTGGGAAAAAAGCGGACCCTGAGTCAGAATTTCTGTGACGGAGCCTGAGTTCTTCATTTCTAAGCTCCTAGGGATGCCAGTGCTGATGGTCTGTGGACCACAGTAAGTAGCAAGGTTCTAGAGCAATGGACCCAATAGAACTTTCTGTGATGGTGGACATGTTCTCTGTTTATGCTGCCCAATAGGGTGGCCATCAGCCCGTGTGGCCACTGAACATTTGACAGGTGGCTAGTGTGATGAAGGAGCTTGAATTTTTAGTTTCCTTTCAATTTGACTCATTTAAATTGAAACAGGCTTATATGGTTAGTGATTCCTGAAAGCACAGGGTGAGAGCAGTTCTCAAACTTAGAGGCACATTGGAATCACCTGCAATCACAGATGGCAAGGTCCCACCCCTAGCATAGCTGATGCTGATCCTGCTGGCCTTGACCTCCAAGGGTCAACCTTGGAAGGGTCCACCTTCCCAGCTGTGGTAGCTTTAGGATCAGCATAAGAACCTCATCTTTTCCCCAGGCAGTGAGCCTCAGTCTCACCCTCAGTGCCAGCACGACCCATCAAGTCCAGATGAGGTGAGTTTTCTCCCTGCAGGCCTTACGCCTGCACAAAATGGGTGGTGATTCAATTGGCTAACACTGGAGGGCTCTGGGAGGGCCCCGCCTTTTTAAATGTTTATTTATTTTATTTTTGAGAGAAAGAGCATGCACGAGGAAGGGGCAAAGAGAGAGGAAGAGAAAGAACCCTAACCTCTTCCCCCAGGAGGGCCCCCTTTTAAAAAATATCTTTTCTGAGGGCATCTGGGTGGCTCAGTTAAGTATCTGACTCTTGATTTTGGTTCAGGTGTTTGAGAGTTCAAGCCCTAAGTCGGGCTCTGTGCTGTCAGCTTGGAGCCTGGGGCCTGCTTCAGATTCTATGTCTCCCTCTCTCTCTGCTTCTCCCCTGCTCACGCTCTCTCTCTCTCTCAAAAATAAATAAACATTTTAAAAAATGTAAAAAGATGTATCTTTTCTGGGGCACCGAGGTGGCTCAGTCAGTTCAGCATCTGACTCTTGATTTCAGCTCCAGTCATCATCTCACAGTTTCTGAGTTTGACTACCACGTCAAGCTCCATGCTGGCAAAACAAATAAACTTTAAAAATTAAAAAAAAAAAAAATCTTTCCCAGGGCACCTGGATGGCTCAGTCAGTTAAATGTCCAACTTCAGCTCAGGTCATGATCTCTTGGTTCATGAGTTCAAGCCCCACATTAGGTTCTCTGCTGTCAGCACAGAGCCTGTTTTGGATCCTCTGTCTCCCTCTCTTTCTGTCCCTACCCCACTGGTCCTCTCTCTTTCTCTCTCAAAATAAATAAATAAATTTTATTAAAAAAATAAATGAAATAAAAATATTTTTAAAAATCTTTCCCACTGATTCCCAAGAAGTGACACAACATACTGGTTAGAAGCATTTGCTGTACAGTCAGACACAGTCCAGGTCCATTTATCCCCAATACTAGCTGTGTGACCTTGAGCAAGTTACTTAAACTCGGTGCCTCAGTTTTCTTATCTGTAAAATGTGAACAGTAACAGTACCTACCTGCTAGAGGCCTGGTGAGGATTAGGTGCTTAAAACAGTTGCACAGTGTAAGTGCTTAGTATGCTTTAGTTATCATGACCTGTAATCCCATCTTTTGCAAATTGTTCACTTTGGCTATGCATTTTGCTCACCCTGCAGGTTCTCTTCAAACAAGCAGATGTTCCTGGGAGGCACGCTCTGCCCACTCTACTATTTTGCTTAGGGCTCAGGGGCCCCCATCTAGGGTGTCCAAAGGCAGAAGAAAAGTGACAAAGCAGGAGGGCACCCCACTTCCCGATGCACAAGTGAGAGCCAGCATGGGCCACTCGGCCATCGCCCTGATACAAGCCAGGACGGGGACTCAGCTTGTACAAGCCCAGTACTGCAGCATTCCTCCAGGCGGCTCTCTGCGGGGCCAGTGGGGCCGGGAGGGATAGCGTTTTCTGAGCCTTCTTAGGAAAAGTCATTTGTTGAGGATGATGCAATGCGAATACACACCCACCTCTCTCCTTCTGCTCCCACATCTGTTCCTACAATGAGCCCATCAGCACTTTCCCAGGCTGGGCTTATCCCAGGCCCTGCTTCTCATTCCCATGGGACTGTAGCAGTGACAGAGGCATACCCCAGAATTTCTGCCAGGCATCACATCCTGCAGTACCAGTGCGCCTCCCACACCTCGCCTATGTGGTTCTGCTAAAGATACTACTGTAGAACCTGGCACCACGACAGAAACATCCTTTTCCCCCATTTTAAAACATTCTGTCATTGTAGCCATCATGGAGGAAGCCTTAAAACAAAATTTTGAGAATTATCATCAGATGTCAGTTTTATTGCCAAACATTTAGTAAACAAGGTAATCCCTCCCACCCCAACCCCAGGCTACAGCACATAATTGGAGGAACAGTTATTCCAGAGCCCCTTCCTTTGGATTGTTTGGGGCATGGCCAGACAGCAAGGGATACAGACAACTGCAAAGGGCGACCATCAAAGCCTGGTGTCCGCCAGGATCACCTGGCTGATGTGCAACCTACCTCATTCCTTCCTTTTTTACCCTCCCAAGTTTAGAATAACAATATCCATGAATTGAGTGCTATTACCCAGAGACTGTGCTACTTTCCAAGCATCAACTCATTTAACAACTGCCTACCATGTGGGATCTATTGTCCTCCTTTTATAGATGACGAGGGGGCCCATGGAATAGTAGCTAATAGTTGAAAAAAGTCAAGGTACTTGTTTCTTCACCAAACTCTTTGCCTTGAAGGTATGGTAGCCACATCTGTAAGTATGTGTGTGTGTGTGTGTGTGTGCGCGCGCGCACGCACGCGCGTGCACGCACGCACAGGGGCAGATATGGACCTACTGCCTTTCTGACAGTCCTGTGAAGTATACAAATGTCTGTCACAAAAACATGCCATCCATACTGTGCCAGTGGAGAGGAAGAAAGGCAGGAACACTTCAAAATGGCAGCTAATTTAAAAATCACTTCAGACTAAGTTTGTGCTCATGTGGGACACGAGAGTATTTGATGAATCAGGAAGTAACAACAGTGTAAACAATGATTACTACTGTTCCCCAAAAGGAAACCACCCTCCCCTTCTATATCCTAGCCTGTGCTACTAACTCCACCCTCTGTCCCAGCCCTGACTTAGGGGAAGCCAAAGCAGCACCAGGGCCCAGTATGAAGGGGCATGTAAAGGGATGTAGGGGGCTGGGAGGAGGTGCATGTACAGAGAGCCCCAGAGCTCCGTGGATCAGAGTACATAGGTGAGCAGAACAGGTGCTCTTCTATAGAGTCGTGTAATTAAAGCATGTGATTGGTCATAATACTGCAGGTGCTGCATCAGACACCGGAAGCCAAACGTATCACATGTAAGACCTAAACAACATTTCTAGAGCTGACAGTTATCCGCTGAGTCCCTGAAAGCCGCTTTCCAGGTTCTGCCAAGAAATGCCAGGTGTCCTTATGTTCACCAGCCAAATGTTTCCCTGGGACATGTAGAGCGGAGCTGCCATTCTACAGTGGAGAAAAGGAAGGTCCACATAGCAACCTATGGGGAAGCTCGATCATCTGGAAGTCTTAAGAAATAGAAAATTTGCTTCATTAAACTTTCTCATCAGTTTAGCATTGATCAGGAATCTTTTTGTTGGAACACTGAAACTGGAAACATTCTGAAAGGTTGAGTTTCTTGTCTTCGCTCCAATGGTTGAATGATGAAGCTGGTACCCTGTTTTAGTGATCTGAGACTCTGCATGGCCTGAGGCTCATTCTCTAGGTTGAGGATAACAACCATTTCTTCCAGGGTCATTATTTATGCTGCCTTTGTTAACATCATGGCAAATAAGACCCTTGAAGGTGTAATCTCTTTTTACTGTAATTGAAAGCTGATTAAGTACATGACCTTATGAATCCAACCTGATTAATCAAGGCTCCTGATTAATCAAAGGAAAGAGAACAACACTGACTGAATGATGATTTGTTGGCAGATAGTTGTCTCACTAGGAAACTGAAAAGGCTTGAAGTTAGTGCTTCGAGAACCATCAGATCTGCCTGTGGGTGGAAACGAGGGTGGGAAGGAAGGTAAGCCCAATGGGTAAATATAGATGTCTGCTCAGGACAATGAAGCAAAAATGGTTCCCAAGGTCAATAACGGACATTGTCTTCCCACTATGAAAAGAAGTGCCTGGCACACAGCAGACGTTCAATACCAATTCATCAAATGAATGGAGGCCTGCCCACCAGATCTATTCTTCATAGATTTTCTTAGATCGCCAATCATTGGTCTACCATCCATCCACTATCTGTCCCTCTCTCTATCTAGTATTTATGTGCTGACTATATGTGAAGTGCTAAACCGTAAGCTATAGGGGGTTTGATGGTAAACACTATACAGCCCCGTATGCAAATCAGGCACCCCTCTGTTTCAATGGACTTTTCAAAGGAAAGGGAATGATGACGAGTGGACTTTACAGAGTGGCCTGAACATACACTGCATTCTCAGATACCTGCCCTACTCCATACACTCTTCACCTTTGGCAAATCCTGGTTACTGCTCCCTTGAAGGTCCAGTCTGTGTGCTTCTGAGGGAAAATGTCCATCTTCCTGTCCAGATGGGGTGGAGGCACTGGTCCCTGCCTGAGCAGGACACTGGGCTAGCTTCACTGATGAGTCCGTCTGAAACAGTTTTGTCCTGCTTACTTCCTTGGTAATGAACCAAACAAAAGTTTCTTCTAACCCTTCTCATTCCTCCTGACTCTGCTTCGCATTCTCTTTTTTTCAGAGCTGGAGGATCCTCGAGAGGGCAAATGTGAAGGTCTGAGGCGGCTTCAGGGCTGCAATTTTCCGGATGGTAAGAAAACGTCCAGCATGGCGCTTGGAGGCGAATTCTGGGCACTTGGTAGAATGTTTACATCAAGGGAAGTAAGCCTTTCTTCATCCACCAGCCTCACTGCCCCACACTCCTTCAATGTTCCTTTGCTGCATTTCAGAATAAAAAACACTTCTCTCTGGTATCATGTCAAAGAGAAGAATATAAATAAAGGGACCAACAAAGGATTCTGGAAATTGTTCCCCATCAAAGGGCAACATGACCACTTATCCTAGAATATAGAGTTGGATCTATAGTCTGTAGGCAGAGGGGTCTGAAATTTGGAAGAACCATTCTTTACTATTACTAGGTTTGGCTTCTGTTTTTGCTTTAATTTTATTTCTCTATATGGATTTATTTTTTTAGTCCAAAAGTTTTTTTCTCCTTTACACAGTGCTTTCCTCTAAGTGTAAACCTCTAATTTGGTGACATTCAGACCTGGGCCTTTGCATCACATGTGACACTGTGATCTGCAATGTGCTTTTGTTTTGTTTTGTTTTCTTGAGGACTCTTTATTTCCTTAAAGTTTTTATTTAAATTCCAGTTAGCCGTGATGTGCTTTTTGAGACCATTCCTTTCTGCACTAGGTCATGACAGTACACTGTACTCTGGGCACAGTTCAGATCACATGGATCCTTTGATCCATGGATCACATGGATCACATGATCCTTTCTGTTTATGGCAAATTGCACCTGCAGTTCTAAAGTCACAGAACTGAGGGGCGCCTGGATGGCTCAGTAGGTTGGGCGTCTGACTTCGGCTCAGGTCATGATCTCATGGTTCGTGGGTTCGAGCCCCGCGTTGGGCTCTGTGCTGACCGCCACCTCAGGGCCTGGAGCCTGTTTCGGATTCTGTGTCTCCCTCTCTCTCTGCCCCTCCCCTGTTCATGCTGACTCTCTCTCTCAGAAATAAATAAAAAATTTTTTAAAAAAGTTTAAAGTCACAGAACTGAGAGACCTCTTTGACTCTGGTTCATCTTCACAGTGCTGAGGAGGACCAAAGTCATGATCCCTCTCCACAGGTAGGGGAAAACCAAGGCACAGAGAGATGATCTACCCAAAGTCACTCAGTAAGTCAGAAAACCAACTGAACAAAGGGCAAGGTAAGATCACCTGTGTACCTTTCAGTGTCTCATCCAGAAAGCCAGACTGTGTCCTTCTCGAGTGAACAGACATACTTTAGAAGAAGGTAGTTTTAGGTGGAACTTTCTATTATGGTTCCAAAGCTCTCTAGGAAATCAGGAGCCACAAGGTAAGAACCCGTAAGTATCAGATTAACCCTTTAGTTAAATGCCTCTGACTCACAGACAATGTCAATTATTACAGCTAGCTGCTGATAAACTGGTGACCAACAAGAAGAAAATTTGAGGGAAAAATTCACCCCTTCAAGAAAGAAACCTTGGCACAGCTCTCCTCCTGGTTACACATCTGAAATGTAACACCCAAGTACTGCTCCCTCTACACAATGATTTTGTATCTGCTGGCAGGCAATTGGGGCGGGGGTGCAGATGGAGTGTGTGTATGTATATGTGTGTGCATAACATCAGACATTTTAGGGACAATTCTGCCCAGCAGAATATACATGAATATGTCCAATATAGTAGTTCTCTACCCTGATTCTTGCTCTTTTTATGTTTTTCGTGCTTTGTTTTTGGTAAGTTTTATTTCCTGATCCAGATTTAATGAAAAAAGTAACGTTTTCTGTGATGAAGGCAGAGTCAACGGGTGGATATGGGGGGGGGGGCGGGGGGCTGATTTCAGCTTCATGGAAAGGAAGCACTCTAAGGGTTAAAGTTGCCTGAAGTCAACTGAATGGGAATATTTTTGGACTCGCAAGTATTTTCCCCCAGGAGCTAAATAAATGATCATGTCAGGACACACAGCCCCCTCCAACACCAGGAATCCATTTTCCCAGAAACAAACTAGACCAACCACAGCCCTCCTGCCTCCCTACTCCAGGTCAAGAAAGGCACAAAGAAGTCCAACAAATAATACTCAGGCGGTGCTTTGGATCCGGAAGACCTTGAGGTACCAGGAAAAGGGGTAATTGATGGCCCTTCCTGGCCAATGGGAAAGGTGAGGCACGGCGAAACTGGTTAAACACTGTCAGTCACAAGGGAGAGAGAACCAGAACTTAAGGGGGGAGGGAGAGATTCTCTTTTTCTTCTGTGCCAGAGGACGAGGGAGACGTACCACCACGAACAGCAAACACAACTCTCAACAGCAAAGGGGCAATCCCAGCCGCCGCAGATCACCGTCGGGGCCGCTGGGAGGACTCTTCCGCAGAGGAAATCCTAGCTCCAGACTCGCGGTGCCCACCGTCGGGGCCGCGTCCGGGTCAGGAGATTTAGGCAGGATTGGCCTGGGCAGGCACATAAGGTAGCTCTGCTTTTTAAGGCATGGCTGCTGTCCTTCGAGGAATGGGCTCACATCCACCCTGGGAGGTGGGCGTCAGGCCGCTGCCTCCCCTGAAACTACCCTGCAAGAAAGCATCAATTCGGTGGAACACTGCTGCCTAGGGAACACATCTCCTCCCCCCCCCCGGGGGGCTGGGGGCTTCCACTAAAGCCAAAACAGCGTCACCAAACCAACCAACAATACGTTTCTTGTGTCCCTTGGGAGAACAAGGAGAGAAAAAAGACACAAATTGATCATAATTTGCAGATGATTGTCTAACTAGAAAGCCTAGGGGAATTAACCAAAAAACGACCAGAACGAAGATCAGAATTTGCGCAAGTGGCAGATGAAAAGTCAAGCGTACAAGGAATCACTCGCTTTTGGCGTCACTCGCTTTTGGCGTCATTTGGTGTGGCCTGAGACGCTGCAAGAGCTATGCTTTTCTGCGTGGGCTCCGCGCTTTGTGCAACTTGCCACAGTAAAAAAGATGGAGGCGAGCCAAGGAGATGCCCCCTCCGCTGCGGTAACCGCAGTCACCTCAGACACCACTGTGCAACAGGTGCCTGGGCTCCCTGCTGCAGAAGGGGCGGCCACGCCCGGGGTGGGGGGGCTGCCCCACAGACCCCACCCAGCCTCTTTCTCTCCAGCTCTTTTTTCTATTTCAATCCCAAAGACACACGGGGAAGCTTGGCAAGGGTCGCTGCGGGAGGCACCCAGGGAGGATGTGGTCCAAGATTGTGCTCTGTCATTTCCAAACGAAGTCAGGTTTTAAAAAGGCGGCGGGCTGGCAGGTCTCCTATCTGTCCTCTCCTCGCCTCACCGGTCGGAAGCCTGGCAAGGCCACGGTGCCGAGCCCCGACGGAGGGACTTCCGCGGTCTGGTCATAAAGGCCAAGGGAGGCCGCCCGGGGCTGGGCGCGGGAGGCTGGCCAGCCCAGGGCGGCGGTCATTTACGGTCCAGACTGGCGTGCAGCTGGGCTTCGCGCACCATGCGGTCGAAGGAGCGCGTGTTGGTTTCCTCGCGCACCTTCTCCCGCACATGGAAGGAGGCCCGGGCGGTGGAGCGCGCGCTCTCCAGCGCGCTCCTCCGGTCGCGTGACAGCTGCTCGCTGCGCTCCAGCTTGCGCCCGATGGCCTGCAGCAGCTCCCGCCGGCGGCAGTCTTCATCTCTCTCCACCTTCTCCTTGTTGGCGCGCTGGGTCCGCTCCTTCTCCAACCGGCTCTGGCCCACGCGCCGCGCCTTCTGCTGCACCGCTTCCTCGGCCGCCTGCGCCGCGTGCTGCAGCCGCCGTTCTCCGGCGCGCGCCAGCGCCTCCAGGTGCGCCTGGTGCTCGCGCTCTTTGCGCTCGGCCGCCTCCTTGGCCCGCCGGCCCTGCAGCTCCTCGCGCCGGGCCCGCTCCCGCAGCTCGCGGGCGCGCTGCTCCACCAGCTGCTCGTAGTTCTCCTGCGCGCGGCCCAAGCTGGCCTCCAGGGAGCTCCGCAGGCCCTCTCGCTCGGCGCGCTCCTGCCGGGCCCGGCCTTGCAGCAGCGCCTCGTGGCGCGCGCGCTCGGCCCGGCTCAGCTCGCGCTTCTCCCGCTGCAGCTGGCCCTCCTGCCGCTGCTTGGTGCGGGCCGCGCGTTGGGCGCGCTCGCGGCGGGCCTGTTCGGCCCGCTCGCGCCCCTCCTGCAGGCCCTCCTCGCGCTGCTTCAGGTTCTGTTCCTGCTGCAGCTTGCGCAGCCTATCCTCCCGGGCGGCGCGCTCCGCCCGCTCCCGCCGCAGCAGGCCCTGGCGTTCCGCCAGCTCCCGCCGCCGCTCTTCGCTGCGCTCGCACTGCCGCTGCCGCCGTCGCGCCGCCTCCAGCTCTTCGCGCCCCCGGCGGCCGCGCCGCTCCTCCACCTGCGCGGCCCAGGCCCGGCGGCCCTGCTCCAGCGCGCGCTGCTTCTCCCGCTCCTCGCGTTCCCGCCGCTGCTCGGCGCGCACGCGCTGCTGCTCCCATTGGCCGTGGGCCGCGGCGCGCTGCTCCAGCAGCAGGCGCTCCTCCTGGTGGCGCGCCAGCATCAGCGCCGCGATCTTGCGGTCGCGCTCGGGCACTCCGCGCAGGCCCCGCTCGGCGCGCACTTGGCGCACTATGCGCTCCACGTGCTGAGCGGTCTGCGGCGAGTGGCTCAGGTCGCCCAGACTGAAGCTGCGGCCGGTGAGCGGCACCAGGGCCAGGGCGGATGGGCGGCCCAGAGGGTTGGGGGCGGAGGACGCCGAGCCCGCGGGGCAGCTGTTCCTGGCAGAGGCGCGCGGAGGCCAGCGCAGCTCCCGCAGGCTCTCCCCGCTGTAGGACGACGACGACGCGCCGGACTCAGAGCTGAGGGCGCCCTCGCGCCGGCGGGACAGCGAGTCTAGCGAGTGGCTCTTCCTACCTGCCCGCGAGCCCGCGGGCGGAGGTTGCGTCCGGGCGGGGGACGGGCTGGAGGAGGCCTTGCGCGCGGCACGCGGCGCAGGCGAGCCCGGGAGGCTGGCGCTGCTGCAGCTGCTGCTGCTGCTGCCGCCCGCGCTGGGGACCGAGGCGGCGGCGGCGGCGGCCGGGCCCAAGGGCGTGAAGAGGCGCCGCTTCTCCTCGCGCACGATGCGCTCGCGCTCGGCCCGGCACTGCTGCAGCTTGGCCCGCCGCTCCGCCTCGTACGCCTCGTACAGGCCGGTGGCCACTCTCATGGAGCGGCCCGGCGCCTCGCGCACCAGGTCGGCCAGGGCCCTGGGCAGCAGCTCCACCGGCTTGACGGCGCAGCGAGCGCAGGCCTCCAGCGAGCGAGGGCTGGTCAGCACGTAGCGGCTGCCCTCGGCCTCCGGACAGTCGAAGTTGAAGAGGTCGAGGTGCAGCAGTGGGGACTGCTCCCGCCGCCCGCCTTCTTCTGCGGCGCTCGGGACTTCAGCCTTGCGGGGCGCCACCCCCGCCGCCGAGGCCGAAGCCGAAGCCGAGGCCGAGGCTGAGGCCGAGGCCGAGGCCGTGGAGGCAGCGGGCTGCTGGGCGCCCTGGGCGTCAGGGGGCACGGACGCGGCGGCTCCGTCCCCTCCCGAACCTTCCGGCTCAGCTCCCGCCTTCTCCTCTTCCGGCACGGGGTCCACCATGGCGGAGCCCTGTCCTGTGGAGTCTCTGCAGATGACAAGGTAGGGACACCGAGGAATACATGAGAGCAGTTCTGTCTCCCCCATTCATATACACCCCCCCTCCCAACTTAATCCGCTTTGGGATTAGGCTCAGAGGCCGGGGGTGGGGGGTACGTAAATCATAATGCCGCTGCCCTGAAAACCCAGGCGGGGGTGGGGGAAGTGGGGGGGAGGGGGCCGGCACTGGGGCAACCTCAACCTCCCTGAGCCCGGGTGTGCAGGGCTCGGTCCTGGGGCCCGGCTCCCCGGGACGTCTAGCCCGCTGGATGCATCTCCTTTCTGCTGCAAGTTAAGATGAAAAGATCGCGGTGCGGACAGTAGCAGGCCAGGGAGGCAGTGGAGGATTCCCGGGAGGATTAGTGTATTTGTTTGTAGCTTAGGCGGGGACCGCAGCTTTGCAGGAACAAAAAAGACCAGAGGCCTGTTCGTCCTCAGAGCGCATTGCTGCGAGGACCCCATTTGCCTCGGGGAGAAGTTTATTTGGGATTAGGCTCGTAAGCCCTGTAATTCACATGATATGTATTATATGATTTCCCCCTGCCAAAGGATACCGGGTCTGCGGCTGATGGAAGGGCAAAGAGAAATGCCTCAATTACAAAAGGCCTCCCCAGGAGGGGTGTTCGATTCTTGCTCTGCCTTTTGGGCAGGGCTTGCTGGGAGCTGTGCCCGCCCCCGCCCCCACCCCTCCCGGGTGTTGGCTGGGGATGGAGAAGGCGCCTGGTCCGCTCAAACGCGCCCGATCCCCTCCAGGTCCGAACGTGCTAAGGGCACCGATCCACCCCCGGCTACGCTCGGACACCTGCCCCTAGATGCCCTCCGAGTCCTACCGTATCTCAGTGAGGCGGGCTCGGGGGACTCAGCGAGCCGGGCCACGCCAGTGGCCGCTGCTCCCGGGTCTCCCGCCGGTTCACTCACCACACGTTCCGGGCTCCGGCCCCGCGCGGAGGGCTTTTGTTCGCAGCTCGCCGCTCTCCCTCGCGCGGCTTCAGTCCCCGCGCCGGCGGGGTCGGGTTCCTGCCGGCTGCAGCCGCGGTCGGAGCCCCAGCTGCCACCGCCGCCACCGCCAGCGCCTCTCCATGGGGCCCGCACACATCCCAGACGCTACCTACACGCGGGAGGGGGAGTGCGACAAGGCCTCCCTAAAATAACGCAGCGCTGCTCCCTTCCCTCACACGGATTCTTAAAAAAGGAAGCCGGGTTCCATCGCTGCTGCATCCCTCGCTGCCTCTCCAGCCGGGAAGGTACCGCAGGTCTGGCGACGCCCCTGGCGCCTCCTGGTGGACATTCAGGGTGTTGGTTTGTCTGCTTAGAGGGCAAAGAGAAATTTATATATTTCTATATGAAATAGAAATATGTAGACATATATAAAACCGTAAGAAATATATTTTCTATATGAAATATGTATATAAATATATGTGCATTTGGTGGAGATGGATATGTATATATATTTGGGGGAGATGGATATATACTCATATTTGGGGGTGATGCATATATACTCACATATATATTTGAGGGAGATGAATATATACACACATATATATTTGGGGGAGATGGATATATACTCATATATATATTTGGGGGAGATGCATATATATTCACATATATTTGGGGGAGATGAATATATATACATATATATTTGGGGGAGATGGACATATACTCATATATATATATTTGGGGGAGATGAATATATACACACATATATTTTGGGGGAGATTATATTTGGAGGAGAAGGAGATATATATTTTGAGGAGAAGGTTTTATATATATATATTTGGAGATGAATACACACACACTTGGAGAATATATCCACTGAGAAACTATTCTTTATGCACCTTAACTAGATAGAATGAAGGAGTAGCTTGGCTTGTTTCTCAAAGGAACCCTGAGAAACATATAAACTTGATAGTCAATAATTGAGTAGAAATATGGTTCCTAATCCAAATTATTATTTTACTTTTTGAGAAAAACTAAGAGCACTCAGATAGTTTTGAGGCAAGCAGAAAATGTGTGACTAGTTCTAATGCAAATTTGGGGAACTTCCTGGTTCCAGATAATACACATTAGGACCAGCTGGTGCTGTTTAATGGATGCTATTTTGAGACACCTCCTCCCCACCTTGTTTCCACTGGGAGTGGTTGGGGCCACAGGAAGCAGAAGGGAGGACTGGAGGCAGCTTGCTGGGTGCGTGGGACACAGCATTAGAGCGCATGGTGAACTATGTTGTTAATAATCTTGATGTTGTCAGATGGCAGTGAGGAGCAAGTGAAGGATTGAAAGCAGGAAAATGACAGGAGTTGATTTATATTTTCAGAACCTAGCTCTAGCAGCAGTGGGGTGAGGGCTTTAGGGGGGTCAACAGGAGGCCGGCAGCCCTGTTAGCTGTACTGTCGCCCAAGGCAGGAAAGGTTGGGACTTGAGGGGGAACAGCCGTAGGAGGAGTAGGTCTGGTTGAGCCTGGTTGGGGGGGAGGGGGTGTACAGATTCCTGAAATAGAAAAAGAACATTCAAAGATAGCTTGGCCCTGGGGGTGTGAGGTCAGGGATGACTCCCTGGAGCAGTGAGGTACCTGGGTGTATCCAGAGCATGGACCCAGGAGGGAGCCGTAGGTGATGAGGAGGACCGGGGACACATGGGTTCCTTCTTGGACCACGTGAGTGTGAAGTCGGGCTGCCCGGCAGGTGGCTGGGAAGTTGTGTTGTGTCAGACGTCTCAACTGGAGCGAGAGTTTAGGAATCACCCATATACATGCCCAGGACATACACATATACACCGTATCCATATACAGTGTTCCTAAAACCAGCAGTGGGAGTGCGATCACCCAGGAAGGGCATGATGAGGCTGCTAAAAGAAGAGGAGTCCATGAAGGGGGCCAGTAAGGGCTAGCATGAAAGCCATGGTCTTGTGAGGCTAACAACAGAGCACTCAGAAGGGTGTACCCTAATGTCGAGGCCACAGAGATCTAGAAGGATTGCCCCTGGTATCAAATACCCCCTGAAATTGGCAATGAGACGGTTTGTGGTGACATCAACAAAATCAGCTTCAGTATTGTCCTGGGGCTCCATGATGCCAAATAGCAGGAGGTTGAGGTTAGGGGGAGGTGAGAAAGTATCACTGACTCTTTGACATTGGATGAGAGTGTTAGGAACTGTAAAGGGCTTGAGACCTCATCCCGCTTATATGCTGACACGTTAGCCTGCCAGTTCCATAGATGCTGGTGGAAGACAAGCGTGTCCTTGGTCAGAAGCCAAGGACTTTGTTACTTCTGGCACAGCAGACAGCATGAGGTACACGTTTTTGTGGCCTCCCCTGTGCCCAACTCCACGGAGCAATGGGGAGATGGTTATTTAACATACAGTTGGTTTATGTCACAGGTGAATAACCCTACTAAACTTAGTAAATCTTGATCTTTGGGAGGTGTGACTAGCAAACACGTTCAATGTTTGCCCCAGAGGAAGGCCATATCTTCATTATCCTGGACAGAAAACAAGTCTTCCCTCTGTTTTGGAGGGAGACTTCCAGGGGTGTTTGCTGTACACACATCCTTGGCAAATAGTCCAGAATAAAGGCCTTGACTAGAGCTGCAGAAATGCCATGGAGAATTGCTCTCAATTGAGAAAAGGAGCAATTGGCCAGATAGCTAGTAAGAGATAATGGCTGGGATTTGGACTTGGCTCTGTTTGATCCTGAAGTGGATCCCATGCTTTGTGTTTCTACAAACAAAGTATCTAGAAGTAAAGTAGCCTAGAGTAAAGTAAATGACCCATGGATTCAGATGAGCAGCCAGGCCAACCTCCCCAAACCTTGGTTTTCTCCTGTTTCCATGGAATCCCATTCAGGCAACTACCTCAAAGATGAATAGTGTCTGCTATGTAAACACCACCTTTGTCATTGAATCGGGACAATAATAGCTACCTTCCAGGATTGTCGTCAAAACTGGAAAGACCATATGCACAGTAGCTAGACCAATGTATTGTCAATAAGCAGCAACAAAATAGTTACTATTCATTTTGATAAATCTCATCTTACAGGTGTGGTCAGAATGAATAAGGAAACATCTGTAGTAGCTGTAAGTTTTAAAGGGGAAGCCCAACAAATGTTCCACCTTTGATTAAGGGATGATTCATCAATGGGGAAGGTCATGGAAGGAGAGGGCATGGGAAGGGAACCTTGAAATAGGACACTGATCTCTAGCCAGCCACTTCCGTAAAACTAACTTGGCAGACAGTGGGGACACCAGTCAATCATCTGATATCTCTCACCTCTCATCTTTAAGTGACCTGGACATTTCAGGAGATGGGTTTCAAGCAGGTTAAGTACTGACTTCCTTCAGGTTGGGAGTTCTAACCTGCCAAAGATCAAAGGTGTTAAATCCAACTTTATTATGGTAGCCAATAAAGAAAGCAGCCCAGTTTGGGAGCATGCACCTGCCCCTTGTGAGTGAGGTAGGGGACATGGTGGTGAGGAAGGTGGGCTTAAGAGTCATACAGACTACTCGTTCAAACGCCTGCTAACCAGGCTGTATGATTTCTTAGCTCCTCTGAGCCTCAACTGCCTCAAAAGAGGAGCCACAACATGGACTGTTATTTTGCTCAGAAGGGCCTTTGGAGATGTTAATTTATTAAGTACCCTGATAGCTCACTGGCAGCCTGGGAGCTATAACAAATTTCCATGCACTGGGTGGCTTAAACAACAAACATTTCTCACAGTTCTGGAGGCTGGGATGTCCAAGATCAAGGTGCTGGCAGATCTGACAGTTTGGTGAGGGCCGCACTTCCTGGTGTGCAGAAAGCCAGCCTCTTGTACTCACATGGCAGAGAGCAGAAAGAGCAAGTTCTCTCTGTCTTTTCCTATAAAGACACTAATCCCATCAGGAGGGCTCCATACCCATGACCTACTTACCTCCCAAAGGCTCCATCTCCAAACACCATCACATTGGGGGTTAGGGTTTCAACATTTGAATTTGGGGGAGACACAAGCATTCAGTCCATAGCATTCACTTGATATAGACCAAAAGACCCTTCTAGATGTAGACATTATTATCTCCATTTAAATTCATTTTTTCTCAGTGCCCACCACCTGCCTCAGCTCTATGCATTTGTGTTTATTCCCTTTCGTCTCAATATAATCCTATTCACAGAACACAGATTATTCCATCTAAAGCTCTAAATCAAGAGTTGGTAAACTGTGATCTGTGGTAAATCTACTCGCTATTTTCGTAAATAAAGTTTTATTGGAACACAGCTCTGTTTATTTGTTTGGATGTTGTCTGTACTACGTTTTTGCAACAGTATCAGAATTGAGTAGTTTTGAAAGAGACTGTATGACTCACAAAGCTTAAAATATTTACGGTTGGGCTCTTTGCAGAACAAGTTTGCCTGTCCCTGTTACAATGACTGATAATAGCTTGTGCCCAGCTGTCAATTGGAGGTTGGCCTTCCACCTCCAAGTTCACTCTTCAGCATCTGCTCTGGGATAAGTGGACGGTATGCATTTTCTGCCGGACAGTAAGCACAATGCTAAGGTTTGCCAGTAGAGGGAGCCAGAGGGACGTTGCAGGAGGAAGGCGCTTCTCTTCCGAGTTCCTTTGTGCTGTGGTTTCTGCTTTTTCTTGTTCCTGCTGCCTGAGGAGTGGTGTGGGTGTGTGGGAACATGTGGGCCACCTTGCTCCAACTGCATGCCCAGAGCCGTCAGGGACCCACAGCGCCGGCCCAGGCCTCTTGAGCACCTTCCAGGGCCTTCCTGAGGCAGACACCACAGATGCTGAACCTTATGCCCCATAGTGGTTCTCTGACTCCCTTTCTCTAGTCTAGTCCACCTTTGAAGACCATTTCCTGTTTGCTGGCATCTGTGGAGCAGCCCCGACCCAGACAAACTTCTCTGCCACCCAGGGGGCTGCAAGCACACCTTTCCCAATGAGTTCTGAATCCCGACCCCCAGGAGGGGGGCGGTCCCCTTCCACATTGTCCCTTCTG